TCGAGAGTTTCTCTTTCAGAAGGATTAGTTGAATAAATGTATCTTTTACCTTTCCAATATTCGTTAATAAAGTTTCCGAGGTAGGCTAAAATTCGTTCGTTAACCTTTGGAGAATTTTCTGGCAAACTTATCGTTGTTAATTTAATTTGCGTTTGGATAAGAATTTCACGCGATTCGGTGAACGAGTAGAGCGATGGGACGGAGGTGAAATAAACCGATCGACGCGGATAAATGGGTACAGAGTCGAGGAGGCGCGACAGCGAACGACACGTCGTATGGAGAAGGAACGGGGTGACAATATAGTATTGTATGTAGGACAACTCGTTTAGTTTTTCGCCGAAGATGGTTACGTAACGGTCGACAGTTGCGCGACGAATACATACTTGGGCGAAACGACCGGCGAGGTCTCGATCGGGTTCGTGGCAAGCGAGAACAGCTTAACGCGGTGCGCCTTCGACGCGTCCGGAAGGAAGGAAACGGATCGCGACTCGGGGGACGGGAATCGAATCCCGGTCCAAATTGCGCAATCCCTCTATTTTGGTTTTCTTATGGCCACAGCTTGGCTTTGTTCCCAAAATGGGAATACCTTTTAGACGACTACGCTGGCCCGTCGCGTCGCCACGGCGAACCTAACGTGCAGACACGCGAGAACGCGGTGTCTCTTCCTCGATCCTCGATCCGATCCGTGCGTCGATCCTCCCGGGGAAAGTATTCGAGCTCGCCCAAACTGTTAACAAATGAAATCCTCCCCCCTCGCGTTGGATACGAGATATAATTCTGCGAAAAGGGAGGACGCTTTGGGGAATTTGTTGGTAAACTTTGGACGAGTTCTGACGATTATCAACCCTTTAGTGGACTCTCGATCTTAACTGAGTCTTTTACCAAATTGGTACATGGAAATCAATTTTCTTTTAAAGTATTTAAAAGATAATAAACTAATGGAGGATTACAAAAATTTTCAAACAATTGCATTAGAACTATTGATGGTATATTTAATGGTACCAGAGAAATTGAAACGATAGTTAGTTGGAGAAATGTTTATCCATTCTCTTATCGAAAACCATGATTTTGCAAAATTCCGGTAATTGGTAACAATTTTTTATTAGAAATTAGGAATCATTTTGACCAGCAATTCCAGCGTTAAATGACCTTTTAAGGACCTTTTTCCGGGGGCGATTTCTGTAATTTCATAATTCTAGGACTTCGTAATTCTTGGAAATAAAACTCACGAGTAAACGTATACATATTTTGATATCGTGTTTCGAGATATCTAAATATCTATGTTTCTCTGAAATCCCATGAATAAAAGAGTTTCGTTTGTCTACACCCGTATTTTATGCGGTTCATCCGAGCCGACAAGGGTGAATTTGCCCTCTGACAAGATCGATCCGTTCCAGAATGCATTACCTTCGTCGGGATAGTTTCTTAGGAAAGCCAATCTTTTCTTTATATTTATCTCATTGTGGTATTGTTCCGTAAACGTGAATTTCCTTGGTTCACAGTTTGGCTCTCGGATGTTTCTAATACCGTGTATCGCGAGGAATCTCGAATAAGTTTGTCGAATAGTATCGATTGCAATCGAGAGATCGAACGGTCTCGTAGAAAAAATACCAGGAATTTAGCGTCGTCGTTGGCTCGACGATCGGTGTCGCGACACGGACGCGACGCTCGCTCGGAACGCGGAGAACAGTCGATGGGACCTGGGTTGACTAATATCCTAAGTTAACAACCGTCTGAAATTATTATTTTTCTTTCGATGGATACGAATCGTTGGGCTTTTCGGAGCTGTATTTTCACGATCTGTCTAAATGACTGGAAGACAGAGAAAAATACGAAGACTACTGTACTTGGAAGCTTCGATTCACAATTATAATCTTGTCCATTTGTTATATTTTGCGCTATTTTCATTGCAATCACGATGGTCTAATCGGGAGTCCCTTTCTCAGAGCTCAAATTTTCAATTCGACGTAAAGAATCTCCGATGACGGGTCAGAATTGATCCACTGTCATCGATAGACCAACCAAATATTCAATTTTTATTTAGACACACTCAAAGACAAAACCCCCACACATAGAGGCAAACAAAAATAAATATGAAATCCAAAATTTGATAAAATCGTAGTTCTGATAAACAATTCATTACAGTCTTTGTTAATCTTGTTAGTTATATTTTGCGTCATGTCCATTCTAATCACTGTAGTCTATCTAAGTAGTCACTGTTTCGGACCTTAAATTTTCAATTCGAAGTAAAGAATCTCCAACGATGGGCCACAATTGACCCACCCTCATCGCCATGCAGAATGTTCAATTCAATTTAGACAGAATTTAGACAAAATTCGATAAAATCGTGGCTTTGACAAAATATCTAATTGACTCACTCTCATCGCCATGCAAAAAGAATGTTCAATTCAATTTAGACACAATTTAGACAAAATTCGATAAAATCGTGGCTTTGACAAAATATCTAATTGACTCACCCTTATTGCCATGCAAAAAGAATGTACAATTCAATTTAGACACAATTTAGATACAATTTAGACACAATTTAGACAAAATTCGATAAAATCGTGTATTTCACAAAATGTCTAATTGACTCACCCTCATCGCCATGCAAAAAGAATGTTCAATTCAATTTAGACACAATTTAGACAAAATTCGATAAAATCGTGGCTTTGACAAAATGTCTAATTAACTCATCCTCATTGCCCTACAAAAAGAATGTTCAATTCAATTTAGACACAATTTAGATACAATTTAGACAAAATTCGATAAAATCGTGTATTTGACAAAATGTCTAATTAACTCATTCTCATTGCCCTACAAAAAGAATGTTCAATTCAATTTAGAGACAATTTAGACACAATTTAGACAAAATTCGATAAAATTGTGGCTTTGACAAAACATCTAATTGACTCATCCTCATCGCCATGCAAAAAGAATGTTCAATTCAATTTAGACACAATTTAGACACAATTTAGATACAATTTAGACACAATTTAGATACAATTTAGACAAAATTCGATAAAATCGTAGCTTTGACAAAATGTCTAATTAACTCATCCTCATTGCCATGCAAAAAGAATGTTCAATTCAATTTAGACACAATTTAGACACAATTTAGACAAAATTCGATAAAATTGTGGCTTTGGCAAAATGTCTAATTAACTCATCCTCATCGCCATGCAAAAAGAATGTTCAATTCAATTTAGACACAATTTAGACAAAATTCGATATAATCGTGTATTTGACAAAATGTCTAATTAACTCATCCTCATTGCCCTACAAAAAGTATGTTCAATTCAATTTAGACACAATTTAGACAAAATTCGATAAAATTTTGGCTTTGACAAAACATCTAATTGACTCATCCTCATCGCCATGCAAAAAGAATGTTCAATTCAATTTAGACACAATTTAGATACAATTTAGACACAATTTAGATACAATTTAGACAAAATTCGATAAAATCGTAGCTTTGACAAAATGTCTAATTAACTCATCCTCATTGCCCTACAGAAAGAATGTTCAATTCAATTTAGACACAATTTAGACAGAATTTAGACAAAATTCGATAAAATCGTGGCTTTGACAAAATGTCTAATTGACTCATCCTCATTGCCCTACAAAAAGAATGTTCAATTCAATTTAGACAAAATTTAGACAGAATTTAGACAAAATTCGATAAAATCGTGGCTTTGACAAAATGTCTAATTGACTCACCCTCATCGCCATGCAAAAAGAATGTTCAATTAAATTTAGACAGAATTTAGACAAAATTCGAGAAAACGAGGTTTTGACAAAATATCTAATTGACTCACCCTTATTGTCATGCAAAAAGAATGTACAATTCAATTTAGACACAATTTAGATACAATTTAGACACAATTTAGATACAATTTAGACAAAATTCGATAAAATCGTGTATTTGACAAAATGTCTAATTAACTCATCCTCATTGCCATGCAAAAAGAATGTTCAATTCAATTTAGACACAATTTAGACACAATTTAGATACAATTTAGACAAAATTCGATAAAATCGTGTATTTGACAAAATGTCTAATTAACTCATCCTCATTGCCCTACAAAAAGAATGTTCAATTCAATTTAGACACAATTTAGACAAAATTCGATAAAATTGTGGCTTTGACAAAACATCTAATTGACTCATCCTCATCGCCATGCAAAAAGAATGTTCAATTCAATTTAGACACAATTTAGACACAATTTAGATACAATTTAGACAAAATTCGATAAAATCGTAGCTTTGACAAAATGTCTAATTAACTCATCCTCATTGCCCTACAAAAATTATGTTCAATTCAATTTAGACACAATTTAGACACAATTTAGACAAAATTCAACAAAATTGTGGCTTTGACAAAATGTCTAATTGACTCATCCTCATTGCCCTACAAAAAGAATGTTCAATTCATTTTAGACACAATTTAGACACAATTTAGACAAAATTCAATAAAATTGTGGCTTTGACAAAATGTCTAATTGACTCACCCTCATCGCCATGCAAAAAGAATGTTCAATTAAATTTAGACAGAATTTAGACAAAATTCGAGAAAACCTTAACTTTGACAAAATGTCTAACTCATCCTCATTGCCCTACAAAAAGAATGTTCAATTCAATTTAGACACAATTTAGACAAAATTGAATAAAATCGTGGCTTCGACAAAACGTCTAACGTCCAACAATTACAATCTTTGTGAATCCTGGAAAATCGTGTACGTACGACTCCCTCCCCTCCCGCGGCCAGGTAGCTCGTTGTTAAACGGTCAAGGTGTATCGTCGGGGAATCCTTGCACGTACGGTCGAACTTTCCAGAATTCCTGTCGCCGCGGAACGGCTCGGTGGTTGTAGTTAAAAATAAACGACCGAGGCGGCGTGTTCTCGAATCGCGTCGACGGCTGCCTTACGGTGCCTCGCGGCACGTGGCAGGTAAACAAAGTCTCGTGCAATAAGATCGAATCGTTTTCGATGGTTTTCAGTCCGCCGACGTTCAAGACCGCTACGCCCACTTCGCGCACGCAATTGAAGCTCCAGTTGATGCGTGAGCAGCTGCAGGAGCAGGAGAGGCGAGAGGCAGAATTTCGTCAGAGCTTGCAGCAGCAGAGGCCGGCAGCCGCCCCTCCCAGACCCGTACCCCCTGCCTCCCTCTCGACCATCGGGGTGGACGTGCCGCCGCAAGTCTTGCAAGTACGTTCTTATTCCACTTCTCTCGTAACCGCCACGCTTCGATCCCCACCCACTAGCGATGGGACGAACACCGTCCCGAAACCACGCTTCTATCGTTTCTTCACAACCCCCCATCGCTCGAAATCACACGTGTATGGCGTGAAAAGAAATTTTTTTTTATCAAAAATTCCGCGGTACCAAGGGAGATCCTTTCTCCTGTTGTTTACAGGCGACGTAATTAAATCGAAATTTAATAATATGAATTTCAAAAGGAACTTTTTCGATCGAACATGCCACGGTACCAAGGGGGATTTTTTTATTATTTACAGGACGACGGAATTAAATCTAAATTTTTTGATCAAAAACGCCCCACGGTACCGAGGGGTATTTTTTTATTATTTACACGCGACAACGTAGAGTTTATAATTAAATCGAAGGGGGATTGAAAAGGAGGCAAAAAGTATAATTTTCTCAGTCGTTCGTCAGAGTGTTTTAACGTTCAAAAAGTTACTGTTTATTTCGTGGGATTTATTTTTATCGAGCGTCGAGACTTTTTATCCGGATCGATGCTTAGCGTCGAGTGCCTCGATATCGAATCGACTCTATTATCGTTGGTATCGGTATCGATCCCATCGCTACCCACCGCCCACTCATTCCCTCTGTGTGTTTCTGACCAATGCGAACGCACGCGCGACCGACACGGTATTTACACGGCACGAGATCGATTAATGTCAATGACTGATCTACGGTCGGATGGAATCCGCCGTTACGGCACGTTTAATTCTTTCTGCGCCGCGTAATCGATTATTTTAATTAATCAAATGTTTTACCCGCAAACGTTAGCGCGATGTAAACAAATATGCCGTTCGAAAAATATCGATGACATTGTGAATTGAAAAATAAATGGATCCGCGGTTATAACTTCGTTTCTATCGGTTTCCAACGTAGTGGAAAAGAACAAATAGTGTCGTCTCCGCGAAGATACTGCAAAGACGTTAATACTCCGATATGAAAGTCGAAAAATAACAGAATCAAGATAGTCATCTAAGTATCTGCTCTTGAGCGTTTCAATTAGAATTTTTCCACATTTTATTACACTAACTTACTCTTCGTTTCACATTATCTTATCTCTCGTTTACAAACATTATATGTCGCGTTTATCAAAATGTATTCAAAGGAATACACTAATGTGAAATTAAAAATATATTTACCAAATACCAGAAAAATCGGTTTCGCTGTCGTTTCAGTTGCCGCGATAATGCAACTAATGGCTCGTTGCGACCAGAAATAATTCAACTCAACGACGTTAATTGAAATTATTGGTATGTTTATACGTGAAATGACGAGGCTTAAAATTAGCGATGACATATCGAATTAATTGAACAGAAAGGGTTAAACGTGTATTCTGTTTAAGCAACGTCGACCTGTCGAATTCTATACACATTTTATAGAAATAAATAATCATCGAATGGAAAAAAATTCGTGAGCCTCGAATCGTGCCAAAAGGGTTACAAAAATATACTTTTACATGTTTCGTTACTTGCAAGCGACGCTTCGGGGAATTTTCGTTTCGCTGTCTCGATTATGCCGCGAGCTTTTCCAAGTAACAAACGTGCCCGACAGATGGCGGGGGCTTTTGTCTTTGAAGCGACGCGTATCGCGTATCTTCTGGCGTAAACGACGATCAACGTCGTCGATAATCTCTCGTCGAGTGCATCTGTACCACGAACACTCGAGACGTTTACGCTAGCTCCATTTTCAAAGCACAATTTCTTCAAACGGAAACGCAAAACCAGTGGCGAAACAAATTAATAATTTGCAATTGTTCTTCCTAGATCTCTCCTGGAAATCTCGACGAAGGAATGCAATAAACATTTTCTTAACAAACGTATATTTTCATATTTCGTTTATCAAGATTTCTAAGAGGAATCGACGGAATTTACAAATCGTAAAGTTTCGTTTAATCTTGCGCTCTCGACTCTAGAAATAAAATATGTTAAATGGGCTAAGTGAACACACGTAACGCGACACTGAGCTACAGTTCATTTGTTTATTCGTACGTAAAATAGAAAATTATCGCTGTCATGCGTGACGTTGGTCTCCCGCGAGAGTCCGGCGTTAGAACTGTGAGAAGTTTCTGGGAACTCGTAACCAAATATAAAACAGTTTGAAAATTCTTTTCACAGTCGATTATCGAAAAACGTCTCTTTTTTATTTGTATCGTCATTTCTTCAAAAATACAGCTTCAGTTTCTTTAATTATCGTTTTAAATTTTAAATTTCGCGCTGTTCGGTAGAAATGACAAAATGGTGTCCATGGAAGTTCATTCGTCGAGGGTGGGACGCGATGGAATTGGGTTAATAGATAAATATCCGTAGAAAAAAAGACCTTCCAAGCGCGAGTAGTATTAAATCAGACGTTATAGTCAGCCTTCGTAAAGGCGACACGACACTGACCATATTCTACTTATTCGAAGTAGCGCGTTTCCCTTAATTCGGGACTGTTCTTTCTTTCTCTGTACAACGGCGTATCCATTGACGTCCAAAGAAATAAAAAAAAAACCGATTACGCAATGAACCGGTTCGTAAACTCGTATAATTTTTCACCTCCGTCTCTAACGATAGATTAATCACGCATTATTTCCGACGATTGTAACGAGCAACAATTTTGCGTTCTACAAACTGTTCTATCAAGTTCGCGCCTCTCTCGTATTAGTTTAGCGCGCCTTATGTTCTACCGCGGTGCTGAATTTAAAATTAATTTGCTCAATGTCAGTAGGTTGCCCAATCGAATAATTTCTGCGCCGTTGTTATCCGATCTGAACATAGGACAATGGCAGGTGTAGAACGTTCGCCACGCGCGATTAATTTTTAAGTGGCACCATTTGTGAAAATTGCTCCGTAGAACTGCATTCTCAATTATTTCTTTTTTTTTTTTTTTTTTTTCATACTTCCCGCTCCGTTAGCCTTATTTCGCGTCCTTGCTTTCCAGCGAGCTTGTTCTTTCTTCGATCGCTTCTTTATTTATTTGATTACTTATAATTTTGTGTACTTACTGTAATCGAATTCACAATGTGGGACGAGGTTACCCCCTATCGCGACGGTTTTCAACTTTTTTTAAGCTTATGCCGCGTTTTTATTGCTATGCACACCCAATGTCAGCTATTTAAACGGTCTCTGACCCTGAAACACGAAACGCGAGATATCTCGTTATCCATCCGTAATGCTTTAACACGTTCGTTAGTACTATTAATAAAAATTTAGTTCGATGTGAGCTATTCGAATAAGTCTTCCATTTGAAAATCAACTAGGAAGTCTCTCGATAGTCGTTTCGATATTAATAAATTATAATTTCAGAATTTGAATCGAGGATTTAGATACTTTATCGCCTAAAAATTGCGAACGATCTCTATTCTGCGAACTTCGAATTAGCGATAATTCGTCGATACGAGCGATTGCTTAATACCGGATACATGCTGTCACTTGTCTAACATCGTGGAAGTCAAAACAACTAGATAACTAATCGCCCAGCTGAGACACGCTTAGTAAAATGACCTAACCCGATGCCTCGAGAAAGTGCAGCTCGTACGATTCTCGCGTCTTTTCCGAAAAATCGTGCACGATCCGAAATTTTTATCTCACGGTTTGCTTAGTCGACGTACTCTCGATACGCGCGAGCGCAAATTTTTATGGAAACAGTGCACGATATATAATAAAACTGCTTCGTTCCCAGAAAGATTGATGCACGAGGCTTTTGAGCGATCGTCCAATGTAACGGGTGGCAGCGACAATGTTAATCTTTTTGGACTCGCAGCGTAGTTTCGAGAACAACTTTGGCACGATTCTCAATCATGAATATGGTAATACCGCGGAGGGGGGTTGGTCCGACAGTGTGTCAGCGTCGGGCAGGGTTTTTTGGAAAATAAAAGCGTTAAAATTACCATTATTAGCCGCGTTACATCTGATAAAATACAGTCGAGAGCAGCGCTTTTTAAACTTCTAGCGACCCCTTTTCATAAAACGAAATCATTAACGATGTCGTACATAATTTATACCTTGAATTATACCATCCGTGATCGGTGCACATTTTAGCGAGTTAATACTCGATGGATAAAATTAATTCCTACTTTTTGCTGCCTGTAATTTTTCGACGAAATATATTTCGACAAAGATTTGCGACAGAAACGTTCAACAACAAACACGAATTTAAAAAAAAAAATTGATAGGAGGTGCCCAAATTTATGAAAAAAAAAAAATTTCAAACCGTTCGAAAAAAATTATTTTCAATTGCGGGGGGCAATTACAATCATTTTTTGTCGATAGACATACCCTTGAATTCCTGCTCACTTTCGAGAAAAAAATTCGAGTAGGTGCTGAAATTTTCAACAAAATTAAAAAATTTCAAACCGTTTTGAAAAAATTATTTTTAGGTTCTGGGGTCAATTACAATGATTTTTTGTCGTTGGACATACCCTCGAATTCCTACTCAGATTCGAGAAAAAAATTCGAGTAGGTGCTGAAATTTTCAACAAAATTAAAAAATTTCAAACCGTTTTGAAAAAATTATTTTTAGGTCCTGGGGTCAATTACAATGATTTTTTGTCGTTGGACATACCCTCGATTTCCTACTCAGATTCGAGAAAAAAATTCGAGTAGGTGCTGAAATTTTCAACAAAATTAAAAAATTTCAAACCGTTTTGAAAAAATTATTTTTAGGTCCTGGGGTCAATTACAATCATTTTTGGTCGATAGACATACCCTCGAATTCCTACTCAGATTCGAGAAAAAAATTCGAGTAGGTGCTGAAGTTTTCGGCGAAATTAAAAAATTTCAAATCGTTCTAAAAAAATTATTTTCAATTGCAGGGATCAATTACAATCATTTTTGGTCCATAGACATACCCTCGAATTCCTGCTCACTTTCGAGAGAAAAATTCGAGTAGGTGCTGAAGTTTTCGGCGAAATTAAAAAATTTTAAATCGTTCCAAAAAAATTATTGTCAGTTGCGGGGGTCGATTATAATCATTTTTGGTCGATAGACATACCCTCGAATTCCTGCTCACTTTCGAGAGAAAAATTCGAGTAGGTGCCACAATTTTCAAAAAAAAGAAATGTTAAACCATTTTGAAAAAATTATTTTTAGATTCTGGGGTCAAGTACAACCATTTTTGGTGAATAGACATACGCCCGAAATCCTACTCACTTTCAAGAAAAAAATTCATTACCGAAAATGTCATGTCTGACCAGGAATCACCAGGATTCCCTTAAATTTCATGCTTACGTTTAAAATGCCATAACTTCTGGATAACTTCACTATTCTCTACATGTTAGAGACCCTCCTCAGTAATCTCCAACCCCCACACAACACTCTAATTTCCATAAACGTGATCAAGTCAACCCCAGTTTTCTAACACAACACAGAGAAGGGTTACAAATGGGAATTGGTCTAACAGATCGTGTTTCTGCTCGCAGGTACGCACATTATTGGAGAACCCGACGCGGTACCATGTGGTGCAGAAGCAGAAGAACCAGGTGCGGCAGTATCTGCACGAGTCGTTCCACGGCGGATCCATGGACGGCACCGGAAGCGAGAGCGTCCTCAGCGAGAACTCGGACATCGTGACGTCCTCCGCGCCGATGGTGGTTCAGAGCGCGCCGCCAGGACCGGCGGTGCATCACCAAAAGCCGCAGCATCCTCATCTGGCGTCGTACCCGCACCCTCACCAGCACCCTCACGCTCCCACGGTGTTGTCGCACGGTAATCCGGTCGCGGCCAGCCCGGATCCTATGACCGGCGCCATGTCGCCGGGTCTCTCCAGCGTCGCCACCAGCAATTCCGAGGTAATGTTAACTTTATAACTCTGTACGCGTACGACTAGCTTTACGCGAGAACGGTCACGATATTACCTATTCGAACGGAATGGAAATGGATCGGCAAAGAGGCCCCAGGGGGGGAGGGGGCAGGCATGTGGGTGGCTTGGGCGGTCGAATCCTGGGAACCATCGACGCGCCCCGCTATGCACAAGGGTCGTTTTTGCAGAAAACAACGCGACCCTGGAATATGTAACATTTCAGGCGGAAGACTAATTACCACGGACCTCCATGCAAATTCATATTTTTGTTAACAGGATTAACGAAATGGGAGCTTCGAGGGTTGTCTCAACCCTTAAATAATTCGTATCTCGAAGTGTCTTATATTTTTGCATATTAAACGAAGTTTGTAGTTTCTCGGAGAATTTCCCATAAATGCTTGAACTCGACTGTGTTTCCAGCCTCCCAACGTGAGATACGATTTTTAGAAATGCTCGGAAAGATTAGTTTTACTTCGAGTCGTCTACAGTAATTACCAGACTCCGGATGTTTATGCAAGTGTTTCTGGGGAATAGATTAAAGAGCGAAATCTAAATAGAAGTATGTTTCATCACCAGAGGTCGTTAAAAATATATTTCTTTATTTTGCATATTTTTCATACAGACATATGTTTTGCATATTTTTTATGAAAACGTATATCGAAATATACCGCATGTGTCATACATGTTTATTGCATTTCTTTTCCTAGAATTAATGCTCGTCTGTCTATTTCACTCTATTAATTCAACGTTTGTGTACGATAGTCGTGGCAGAAATGACAAATAGCTATTTATACATCCCGTGTTTACCTACAGTGATTCAATAATGGTAACAGTTCATAGATACTACGAATAGTATTAATCAGCAATTCTGAAGTATTCCTGGCAGATAGGTTACACGGAAACGAGTATCATGAGGTCAGATTGTTGAAGGGGGCAAATTCAAATGTGCCCCAATCACATCTTGCAATGTCGAGCGTTTGTTCTCAGCTTCTAAATTGACTTTAAGTCATCAACTAACTCTCGACAATATTGAAAAAATACTCGTAACATATTGTAATTTAAATTATTATTAAATTTAAATTATTATTAAATTTAAATTATTCGTAGTCCAGTAATCATTATAATATTTTCTCTGTTCGCTTTTGTTTTCCCTTTTTTAAATCCCATAAGGTGGGAACGCGAGCTTACATCGCGCCTGAATTTTATGCTCGATACATAATGGAAATCTATCGAGAAAGATTTAATGGGTCAGAATGGATTATTTATGGTTGGATCCGCACAAAAGCAAAGGGGTAAAAAAAGAAGTTCCCATCAGCATGCGCCTCGTACACGTCCTTGGTCCCAAATTACGGCCATTTTTATACTCCCCGTAGCTTTTAATCAGAAATTGAGCCAATCTAATTGATTCTACTAAACTGCTTGTACGTAGTGCTCGATATCGCCCTGTTTTCTTTAATGGGAGATTAACGAGCCAATCTTATGTCAATTTCTTGAGCAATCAATTGCATGAATTATTGAAAGAAGTTTCTTTAGATCTACGGTCGCATGCGATCGTTTCAACCGCGCTGTCGGGCAGTTCTAGAACGAGTGATTTTATCATAGATCGATAGGTCGCGCGGAGGATCTATTGCCTGGTTCCGTTCGCGGATCTACAATCGAACAGATTTTTATTTTTTTCGGGACTAGTTTAAATCGTTCGACATATACGAGAGAGTTAGCAAAATTCGAGAAAATAATCGAAATGTTCGATAGATCTAGAAACACTATGACTCTGCTTGGATCAAAGGTTGCCATTTTAAACGCTTCCCGTGAAGATAACTTTACGTTATTGGTATACAGAAATGATTGCAACTCGAGAACGAGGTCAAGTAGGATATCCGTTAAGTACACTCTTTTTTGATAATTTTTTGGCAAAATACAATCTTTCTTATCAAAGTTTATCGTACATATTTATTGATATTTTTCATTCGTTATTCGAAATATTTGTTCAGATATAATTCCTCTATCTACTCGCGACGATGCTGATTTACGCGTGTTCTACACGGTGGCCTTGAACGACGATTATATGCACCGATAAAACTTGATACGAATGTTATTGCATTTCGACTTTCGTTTTCGCGTACGCTTGCTGTTGCATTACAACTTAATGATACGTTCCTCAATGCCACAGGATAATTAAACTTAAAAACACTCCCTCGTATCTAATACCGTGCTTTTCGCGAATTAATAGAGCCAGTGGATGCGTTTATCTTAGGTGAGCGTGAGAAAATTACGAGAGAATCAACGAAACGTTTACAGAAATAGCTCCGGCTGGTCGAAGTTCGCGTGCGCGTTGTTTCGAGCCCAATTAAAACGTTACAAGTAACTGGAAGAGCGGAGGGCCTCGAAGAGCAACTAACGAAGAAAATGCAATTATCATCTTAGCAGCGGCTGCGCAAAATTCTCGTGTCGGTGCAAGATAGCTTGAACGTGACCATGATATCAGTAAACAATGTGACTTGCAACTATTTCATTGTCATAAATTTGACCCCACACTCTTCTCTCCAACAAGGAAGTACACGACGACGATCAATAACGCTAGCTATTTTCAACCGGGTTTCAAATTAATTTTGACACTCGATATACTTACTTTCGATTGGGTAACATTTTTATCATTCTTTCTGAAAGTTGTGTACTCACGGTTTGGTCGATTCGAAATCGTAACGACAGGTTTGCTCGATGATCGAAAGGTCGATCGATCGATCGCTTTCTTCTTCATTTCATATTCCCCTCGTGTCTACGATCGCTAGGAAATCACGGTGCTCGACGAAATAGACTATCACTTTCGACGCTTCGAATTCAACGGATATCTTCTTCGCGAACTTTTAAACACTTTATTACTCGCCCCTTTGCATTTTTCATTAGACCCCCCAAGTCGAGAGCCAGTTAAACTCGGGAGTAATTGCTTTCAATTTTAATTTTTGCGTCATTAATCGAACAAAAGTTGAACGAGTTCGTGATCGGGCAAACGAGGCGTCCGTAGCGAGGAACTTTGCTCGATGCTTCATCCATTTTATGGAGTTACGTTGTCCATTGCATCCTGTATACAGTTCGAGACAAAAAATAACTGTTAACATCGAATGCACGGTTTGCAACTTCCGCGGAAGACATCGAACCGATCTTTGATAATCCTTCTTCCGAACGGGGGTAAGAAACGTCGATCGAAGCCTCACGAATACTCGATATCGAACTATTCGTGAAATTTCGGGGGTAAAAAGTCGCCTGCAGGGAGCCAAATCAGGCGAGTCGAATAATACCGGTGGGTGGCTGAGCGTTACAACTTCTGGAGACAAAAAGAGCCACCGATGGGCTTAGCTTTTTGCTTCCCTGCTATTTCTCGACCAACGTCGGAATAATAACACCCTGCTTACCACCTGAATTCGTTAAAAATACAAAAAAACACCATCCTATTTTATTAAAAGGATTAATTGGAGTAATTTTAGTGGGCACATTCTGCTCTGGAAAAGAATATCTGTTTATGTTGAGTATATTTCAATATTAAGCAGTATTTATTTATTTTAATACAATTATCCATTAGAAAAGAATAGTTTCAACAAGTAGATCGTATTAATTCTAATGTTACTATTGGAAAAGAGTATTTGTTTATGTTGAATGCATTTCAATATTAAGCAGTATTTATTAATTTTAATACGATTATCCATTAAAAAATAGTTTCAACAAGTAGTTCAGATTGTATTAATTCTATCGACACTATTGGAAAAGAATATTTGTTTATGTTGAGTATATTTCAATATTAAGCAGTGTCTATTTATTTTAACCCTTTGGACTCCGAATTATATTTCAATTTTGTTACCAGCATCTCCGAACAAAAAAAAAATTATTAATAATTATGTATAATTTTTAGTTTTATAATAAAAATTGACTATAGTGATATCTTAAAATGAAACACAATGAAATTCTTATGAACTGGCCTTATGGTATAAAAAAAAGTTATTTAATAATAAGAAAAGTTAATTTTTAGTTGGATAATAAAAATTGTCTATAGTGATATTTTAAAATGAAATTCTTATGAAATAGCCTTATGGTATAAAAAAAAGTGATTTAATAATAAGAAAAGTTAATTTTTAGTTGGATAATAAATATTGACTATAGTGATATTTTAAAATGAAATGACTCAATCGAGTTCAGTGTTTTATTTGAAATTTACCTGTTAAAATATCTGTTTTATTTTACACTGTTGTTGCATTTTGTAATTTTCAAGATATCTCTTTGGTTTGGATTTGATAAAGTGTCGACTGGAACTCGACGAAGGAGCTCCTGAGATAAAAAATGATGTCGAATCGCACTCGACATAGGAGTGCAAAGGGTTAATACGAGGCATTATCCATTAGAAAAGAATAGTTTCAACAAGTAGATCGTATTAATCCTAATAACACTATTGGAAAAGAGTATTTGTTTATGTTGAATGTATTTCAATATTAAGCAGTATTTATTTTAATTCGAGGCTTTATCCATTAGAAAAGAATAGTTTCAACAAGTAGATCGTATTAATCCTAACGACACTATTGGAAAAGAATATCTGTTTATGTTGAGTATATTTCAATATTAAGCAGCATCTATTAATTTTAATACAAGGCATTATCCATTAGAAAAGAGTAGTTTCAACAAGTAGTTCAGATTGTATTGACCCTAACGACACTATTGGAAAAGAGTATCTGTTCCAACAAATTCCAATATTTGTCGCTATCTATCAAAAAAGAATGCTCTGTGTCAACAAAGTTAAACAAACCGTGTATAACAGCGTATAACTTAGGCACGTTGGATGAAAGGGAATACGGTACTACGAGTAGAATGAGTCCATCGTCGAGCAGGTTTGCCTTACGAAGGCTGACTGTGAGGTCTGACCCAGTACGGCTCGCACGGAAGATCATTTTTTTCCCCTCCCAGCGGGACGCAACAATTTATCCGATGTCACGTTCACGGAGGTTT